TTCCATTCTTCTACTGAAAGCGAGGTAGTGGAACATGCTGGACAGGTGGATGTGGCCAAAGCTCAGTGTGTCTCCTAATTGCAAGTCAACAGTGAATGTGTGCATTGGCACAGGGACCCAAGAGTTAACTGGAGAACAATTGATGTGCAAGTATACATCGTGTACGTTCATCTTTAAGGCTAGGTTCACACCTAAGCATTTTGCAGTGCGATTTCCTATGGATCACGTTCACATCTATACGTTTTCAACCAGTGCAATTTTTGTAAAGGGTCAGGGACTGTTTTACATGCAAAAGTTTCCATTTTTGGTTTTATAGACTTCAATTGAAACACACCAAAAACACAGTACATGTCTAGGGACCAACACCAGGTACATACAATGTGTTGTGATTGTTAGGTTTATATGATTTAATAAAGTCAGCTGCTTTGCGCAATTAACCTTTTCCCTGATACTACTTTTTGAGTGGCGGTGTATTGGATGGAAAGAAATCACATTCCTGGTACACGTGAATGGTCAAGTTGGTGACAAGACACACAGTAGTTCCAACCAAAAAAAGCACAGTGAGACCTATTTAGTAATAGAAGATCCATCTATTCTGATGAGTGTAAATCCATGTGAGGTCACCTAGAGCACCTGGAAGTGGTCACTTGTTTTTCTGTTAATAATGGCACCAGCACCTGTTCACCTATCTTTTGGATTTCAAGCAACTAATATTTGAATGGGACTTTCTGATATATTGGAAATTATTCATATTTTCTTGTGTTGTCCATTTATATAATTTTTTTTTTAATTTTTTGCATTTTCACATTTGGAATATTGTTGAGTAATTTTGGTTCACATTTTTGGCAGTGCAGTCTATATATACGCATTTACAGGGCTTACTAATGTGGAAGTTAGACACATTTTGAAGACCGTAGTAGCCATAATCACACTCCTCTGTTTCTTTTTTTTTTTGTTTCTTTTGGTTTTTATGGAGTTTTCATTGTTATTTGACTCAAGTAATGGTCCACTATTACAGCTGGCAAAAAAAAAAAAACGCAAAATCTATCAAAAATGCATGTTCAAAAATGCAAAGCGAGACTAAATAACTAATCATAACTGCATAGATGTGAACCTAGCCTAAGAGTAAAGGCCCACCTTTGAGTATTCCCTGATGGTGGCCTCAGCCTTGTCCCAGGTCATTGAGATAAGGTACTCCATGTACAGTATAAGAAAGAGTGACCCTGTTACAGAAGCGTAACCCAGAAGAACCCAACCCCGGGGTAGGCTTTGTATGTAACCCACACTTGGCACCCAACGAGGAGAGAAACATGGAGGAAGTGTCACACACCTGCCTTACAGGTGAACTAGGCCTTTGCTTAGAAAGTTAGAGGACCCTGCTCTTGGGTAAGAAGGTGGTCAGATTCGGAAAGAGATGAGAAACTGTGTCAAATTTGTTTGCAAAACCAAGGTAACTTTCAGAACAACATTTACAACATCCAAACTTGTACTTACCATCTAAAAAAAAACACAATGTTGCCTATTTTCTATGAGAAATATACTTACAATGTGGTCTTCATCTTTTCATTTAAATGTAAATACATTCATCCGGCATAATACAGATGACAGAATCCTGAGAGAACTGTAGTAAATCCATGATTTCTTTATCCTTAAAGAGAATTTCTACTTTCATGAAAAATAAATTAAATACAATTGCTACACAAAGCATTTTGTCATGACATATAAATGAAAATGACCTTTCCATTTCAGTCTGCAGACAGATATGGTTTACTAAAACTAATATTTGATACATTTTTTTTTCCAATCATGGTACAGTACTGTGTACAGCACAGCTCTGATTGTTCATCCTTCTGCACCCATAAGGTATTATTGTGTTTCCCAGAAGTGTGCATAGAGTTTGAAGTCAACTGGCAGACATCCCCTGCAATAGAATGCTCTTATTTTGCATGTACAAAGAGATACTGAGGTTCCACCTTTTCAGATTATGGCATTGAGACTGATCCGGGGGTTATTGTGAAGACCCTCAAGTGCTGGGAATTCCTATATCAATATTTCCAAAAGTAGGCACAGGCATGCAAAAATTTGACCTGGACATTTACTTGTACAGTGCTCAGCATAAATGAGTACACCCCAACAGATTTATCAGAAAACCTTTACTTTCCTCTCCTAATCAACATTTTCTATTTTTCTATACTAAAAAATACTCCCACAAATGCAGGCCATTGATTACAAACAAGATTTGTTAATTTGTACACACAAAAAAGTATTTTTCCTAACAAATTCATTCAAGACCATGTTGCAAAAATGAATACACCCCAATGAAAGTCCTAGGAGCAAAGCTAAATTTTAGACAACAAAGTCCTAACTAGCAAGAATTCATTTGGAAAAAAAAGGATCCATTTCTTAATGAATTTCACATTCTGAAAAGTATTTTCTGTAAACAAAGCAGGCAATGACTTGATTGTAAAAGGGCTACAAATATAAAGCAAGTACTATAACAAAGAAAAAAGCCTAAATTAGTTCATTTTTGCTGTCAACAGCATCTCAGCAACTGGCACCACATGAAATTGAAAATTGCCACAAGGAAATTTGGATAACAGATAACTTTTCTTCTTATTTACCCTTTTACAATCCAAAAAAAAGTTTTTTACACAAGAAAGCTGAAGGCTGCAATATATGATCATCTTGAAAAGCTTTCCACATATCACCGCAGATCAGAAATACTGTAGCACAAAGTTCGATACAAAAATGTAAAACAAAGATGAATTGCAACCAGTCTTTTAGCAACGAGACATTTAGGGTCATCCACAGAAGTTAATTTGCGCAATATGCAGCTGAAGTTGCATCATAATTTTGAATGGCTTACGTCATTCAACTGAGCCACAGGAAGTAAGTCTAAATTACCTGTTGAACAGTGTTATTAATTAAACAGGTATCCAGCAGACAGTTGATTGTAAAAGGGCGTTACTTAACAAAGAAAACCCCTTCCTAGTTCATGCTGTCAGCAATGGCACCACATGAAGAGAAAATGTCACAAGGCCTGAAAAAGAAAATCATTTCTTTACACAAGAAAGCTGAAGGCTCAAGATCAGAAAAGCTCCACATATCAGTCAGAATACTGTAGCAAAAGTGATACAAAAATGTAACAAAGATGGAATTGCAACCATCTCAACGAGACATTTAGGCCATCCACAGAAGTTAACAGCTCAATATGAGCATCTTCTGATGAGAAGGGTTGAAGAAAATCGACATGCAAGTTTACTGCAGTTAGCTAAAGAAGTAGAAAGCCAAACTGGGGTGATTGTTTCCAATGACACAATACAGCGCACACTGCAAAGGAATGGCATGCATGGGTGCCGTTCACGAAAAAAGCCTCTCTTAAAGCCCATGCAGAAAAAACCCACCTGGAATTTGCCAGGACCCATGCTAAAAAAGAAGAAGACTACTGGGACTCTGTACTCTGGAGTGATGAGACCAAGATAAATATTTTTGGAACTGATGGCTTCAAAACTGTATGTCACAAAGGTGAGGAGTACAAAGAAAAATGCATGGTGCCTACAATGAAACATGGTGGTGGCAGTGTCCTTCTGTGAGGCTGCATGAGTGCTGCTGGTGTCAGGGAGCTGCATTTCATTGATGGTATCATGAATTCACAGATGTATTGCTCTATATTGAAAGAGAAGATGCTACCATCACTCCGTGCCCTTGGTAATCGTGCACTTTTCCAACAGGACAATGATCCAAAACACACATCTAAGGCCACTGTTGCATTTCTGAAGAAGAACGGGGTGAAAGTGATTCAGTGGCCAAGTTTGTCTCCTGACCTGAACCCATTTGAACACCTATGGGGAATTCTGAGGAGACAAGTTGAGCATCACTCTTCATCCAACATCCAGGCTCTAAAAGTTGTTCTTGAAGAATGGAAAAAGAAAGATGTTACAATATATACAACTTGTTCATTCCATGCCTAGAAGACTTGGTGCTGTCCTTACAAATCATGGCGGTCATATAAAATACTGGATGGTAGTAATTTTTGTTGTGGGGTGTAGTTGTTTTTGTATCAACTAATTTGAGTAAAACTGAAGATTTTGTAATGTAAGTTATATTATTAACCTTACTTTCATGTAATGAGCTAAACAAATGTTCTATAAAACTCAGTTTTGTCAAATTTTTGGAAAGTGTTCTTGTGTTCATTGAGATATTGATTAAACTCTTTACTTTTCAAAAGTGGTGTACTCAATTATGCTGAGCACTGTAGTTCCCATGTATACTGCATTTAAAAAAATTAATGAAAGGGTCATATTACTAATGCATAGAAACACTGCTGTTCCGTTAGGGGCAAATTTATAAACCAGTGATTTTTACCAAACAAAAAATCTGTGATATGTTGTTATGTGAGTTGAATGTTTTATCATGTGGGAAAATAACAAAGAACTAAAGAAGAATTTAAATAGTTCATGCTTAGTGAAATGACCCTTAACCACTAGCCTACAGGGCACTAATACCCCCTTCCTGCCCAGGCCAATTTCCAGCTTTCAGCGCTGTCGCTCTTTGAATGACAATTGCGCGGTCATGCAACACTGTACCTATATGAAATTTGTATCATTTTTTTGTGACAGATAAAGCTTTCTTTTGGTAGTATTTAATCCCCTCTGGGTTTTTTATTTTTTCTTAAACAAACCAAAAACCATTGAAAATTTTGAAAAAAAAAAAACGTTTTTTTCTTAGTTTTTGTTATAAAATTTTGTAAATATGTGATTTTTTCTCCTTCAGTGATGTGCGCTAATGAGGCTGCACTGATAGGCTGCACTGATGGACACTGATAGGTGGGACTGATGGGCACTGATGAGGAGGCACTGGTAGGTGGCACTGATGGGCACTGAAAGGCAGCACTGATACATGGCACTGATAGGCAGCACTGATAGGTGGCACTGACTGGCACCATTAGGCGGCACTGACTGGCACTGTTAGGCGGGACTGACTGGCACTGTTAGGCGACACTGATGCGCACTGATAGGCGGCACTGATGCACACTGATAGGCAGCACTGACTGGCACTGATAGGCAGCACTGACTGGCAGTGATAAGTGGCACTGATTGGCAGCACTGATAGGTGGCACTGATTGGCACTGATAGGTGGCACTGACTGGCACTAATGGGTGACACTGAAAGGCAGCTCAGATGGGCACTGATATGTGGCATTGATGTGCACTGGTAGGCACTAATATGTGGCACTGATGTGGCACTGATGGGCACTGGAACGAGGCACTGATGGACACTGACAGGTGGCACTGCTGTGGCTACACTGATCATCAGTGCCCTGATGATCAGTGTACATATCCCCTCCGCGGAAAGCCGATTACCGGCTCTCCTCTCGAGCTGTCAGCGTGACAGCTCGAGAGGAGAGAAATGCCGATAATCGGCATTTCCCTGTTTACAAGTGATCAGCTGTGATTGGACACAGCTGATCACATGACCCAGCTGACTTCTTCGGCTCTTTCCGTGATCGGTGGTCCACTGTGTCCGAGGGACACAGCGCACCGCCGATCGCTGCACTGCACGCTCCCTGAGCTGCACATGCGCAGTGAGAATGAGAGAACATCATATGACGTCCTCCCAGAACGAGAGAGCCACCTTGCGCCCGTCATATTACTATATGTCGGGCGGGAGGTTGTTAAAGTATATGTAAACCCTAATAATGATATTCTTCTATTTGGTCCATTGTGATCTATAAAAATATACAATTGAAAGTGTTTTGTTATATCTGTTCAATAAGTGCAGAAAATACCTGTTGATCCTGCCAGAAAGGTAGTGCTGTCCTGTGTTTTCTACACTCTGCAGTGTTTTTTTTCCAGTAGAGTTCTAAGCTCCGCCAAGGTTACCTCTGAGAACTACAGAATCCCCTCCCCTCCATGGTAGTAATAGGATGAGAGAGAAAGGTGGGGGGGTTGTAATTCTGCCCTAGGATGACAACACTGCTCCTCCATAGATACAGTACAGTGCCAGAAAACCTGATAACGTCCTTGCAGTTAATATTGTTCCCAGCCCTCTCAGGGGACTACAGAAACCCACCCATTAATGTTATGGAGAGGAGGAGAGACAGAGGTTTCTTTAGTTGCGTCTTTTTTCTGTTGCCCTGACATAGTAAAGTAAGTGAATGTTGTCACCCTAGGATAAGAAGAGTGTTGCTGGCTGGATCACCAGGTGAAAATAAAGAGAAACAAAGAAAACTAATGCAGCCAGCCAGGGGCGGACTGACAACTCATGGGGCCCCCGGGCAGTAGGAAATCATGGGGCCCCTGTGTCCTCTCCAACACTCAAACCACACGCAAAAAAGCCTATGAAAAGTATCAGGGGCATCTCATAGGGCCCCCTACTGACCCCGGGCCCTCGTGCCCGAATGGTCAGTCCGCCCCTGAAGCAACCTCATCTAAGGACTAATAAGCTGTAATATGTTACATTTTTGTTTTTGGATTATACATATGCTTCAAGAAATGTGGACATTTACTTAACCACTTCAGCTCCAGAAGATTTTACCCCCTTCATTATGAACAAGCCAATAAGTGTGTGTTGATTGATTTGCGTGAAAGTTATAGCATCTACACTCTATATATACCGGATTTTTTTTTTATACTACTAATGGCGGTGATCAGCATCTTATAGTGGGACTGTGAGAATGCGGGTAATCTGACACTAACTGACAGTGAGTGATATCACCAGTGACATTAATGCAGTGATCAGTGATTAAACTATACACTGTCAGTATACTAATGACACTGACTGGGAAGGGCTTAACATCTCAGGGTAATCAGGGGGGGGGGGGGCTGACACATGTTAATGTGTGTAATATATGCTGCTTTTTACCAAAAACTCTATGTTCCTTCTCCCTTTGCAGGGGAGAAACAAAGGGATCATTCCCTCTGCACAGAGCCCTGTGTTGATTGTCAACACAGGGCTCTCCCACATGGAAGAAAAATATATTTGAAATATATTTTAAAATATTCTTCCCAAATATATTACCATATATTTAAAAAGCTACAATTTTGGCTTATTCAATATATTTAAAAATACATTTCAATATATATATATATATATATATACTGCATGTTGAACTGCGTTTTTATTACAAAATATATGAAAAATATTTTTAAAAATACATTTCAAATATACTGCATGTCTTTAAGAATACAAATCTACATTTTTGGAATGCATTTACAAATATATGTAAAAATATATGTTAAAATTACTTTTTTATATGTTAAAAAAAATCTGAAGAATATATTTTTAAAAAATATATTTTTAAAGACATACAGTACATTTGAAATGTATTTTTAAAAATATTTTTCATATATTTTGTAATAAAAAACGCATTTCAACATGCAGTGTATATATATATATATATATTGAAATATATTGAATATGGCCAAAATTGTAGCATTTCAAATATATGGCAATATATTTGGGAAGAATATTTTTAAAATATGTTTCAAATATATTTTTTCTTCATATGGACTGGGCTGAGATTGGATACAGCTGATCAGCAGGTCCTGAATCATTGGCTGGGACCTGCTGACAAACACCCACTGTGTATAATCACAGTGGGAGTCTGTGGGTGAGAAGAGACAAACCGGTACGTCGCTGTGCCTGTACGGGTCACCCATCCGCAGTATATTTTCGGGCGGGCGGTCCTAAAGTGTTTAAAGAATATGTAAACTCAGCATTTCATAATTCATAATATTCACCCTCATTGCCTAATAACATTTCTGGAAATTGATTGAGGTATTTCAGGAGAATGCTGCATTATGGCCACTAGATGAAACCGACACTCATAGGAAATAAACAGATTGCAGGGATTATTCCTGATGGCTGTGTGAATGCTTTAGCTGCAGTGATTGGTGGTTATGATAAAAAGTGGGGGTTGTTTTAGAGACCATGGTTTATAGTCACATACATTTTAACAAACAAATTCTAAAAACGTAAGAGATGAACCAGGGGCGGACTGACCATTTGGAAACCCGGGCACTGCCTGAGGGCCCGGGGGGGTCAGTAGGGGGCCCCATGAGATGCCCCTGGTACCTTTTTCATAGGCTTTTTGTGTTTGGGCAAGGATACAGGGGCCCCATGATCCCCTATTGCCCGGGGGCCCCATGAGTTGTCAGTCCGCCCCTGAGATGAACTATAAGTGAGGAAGCACATTATGAGCTGAACAGGATGACTACTGCTCTGTGAAAATGCTATGCACTCTAGTAAAGTCCTAATAATGTCAACACAAAAAATATTATTCAGCTTTCCTATTAATGAGAACAGCAAAGTTTACAGTTTTACGTTCATCATTGACTTCTTTGAGGCTCTCTGCCCAGCAGCTTTCACTGATTCCAGGTTCTTCTCTGATTGGGGGTCTAAATGGGGAGTATCTCCACCCAGGGCCACCAGCCCAACATATATTATTTCTACTGGAATCAAAGTCAAATGCCCCTAGAACATTTGTTCCCGGATTCAGTGCTCCTGAGCATGTTGTCCTGCCCGGACAGTCTGGGGGAAGGATCTGCAGGAAGCTCCATGCCACATGCACTCTATGCACAGCTACCCACCCCAAGAGACTTCAGATTTCAACAATCAGTAGAGCAGAAAGGATTGGGAAAGGCCAGTGTATTTCGATTGTAGATACCTCCTACAATGACCAGTGCCAGTACAATGACATCAACACTGGCTGCACATTAGAACAATTAGGTGGTTTGGTGAGCAATCATCCAGAACATAGGCAACTTACTGGGGTGCCCGATCTCCCTTACAGAAAGTTCCTTCTTCCGAGCACTTTCCAGTCCTGATTCATAGAGACTTTTCTACATAACAGACCATCCTGAATGCATGAATGAAGGTAAGTTGACCACACTGCCACAAGTTCTAATTCAAGTGTCTGTATATCAGTTTTAAGCTTGTTCTACATGTCATAATCTAACTTTCATTCTCTTTTAGACTTACCATCAACTATGTAGTGGAAGGGCCTGGTTAAATGGATATACATTGAATGGATTGTTTAGTTAGGCCCAAACTGATTGATATCATATGTGGTCATCTTTAAACCTTGGTGTAGCAGAGAGCCCTCTTACTCACCTTCCTCAATGACAGGGGTGGGCTCCTTTTACTCTGTTCTCTTCAATCCCTGGGCTCCCATCATCCTCTGGACTTCTGGACACCCCCAGGGGATATAAATTACAGATTTTCTCACCATTCGGTGCTAAAAAAGTTATTGCATGATAGGGAAGCAGTGACTGGGCATGTGAGCTGTCAGCAGGTGCTGGGTCTTCCATTCTCTGGCGTGTGGGCTGCTGGCGGAGAGTGCAAGAACATGCAACCTCTGCCTAAAGCCTGGTACAGTTACAAGAAAAAGTATGTGAACCCCTTGGGATTACGTGGAGTTTTGCATGAATTGGGCATAAAATGTGCTCTGAACGTCATCTAAGTCACAACAATAGAAGAACACAGTCTGCTGAACATAATACTACACAAACATTAGATGTTGCCATGGTTTAATTGCACATAACATGTAAACATTCACAGTGCAGGGAGGAAAAGGTATGTGAACCTTTGGACTTAATAACTGGTTGACCCTCCTTTGGCAGCAATAACCTCAACCAAACGTTTCCTGTAGTTGCAGATCAGACCTGCACAACGATCTGGAGTAATTTTGGACCACTCCTCTTCACAAAACTGTTTCAGTGTAGCAATATTCTTGGGATGTCTGGTGTGAATCGCTCTCTCTTAAGGTAATGCCACAGCATTTCAATCGGGTTGAGGTCAGGACTCTGACTGGGCCACTCCAGAAGGCGTATTCTGTGCTGTTGCAGCCATTGTTTTGTTGAATTACTTGTATGCTTTGGGTCATTGTCCTGTTGCATCACCCATCCTCTGCGGAGCTTCAGTTGGCGGACAGATGGTCGTACGTTTTCCTGCAAAATGTCTTGATAAACTCTGGAATTCATTTTCCCATCAATTACAACAATCCGTCCAGGCCCTGAGGCAGCAAAGCAGCCCCAAACCATGATGCTCCCTCCGCCATGTTTTACATTGGGGATGAGGTTTTGATGTTGGTGTGCTGTGCCTTTTTTTCTCCACACATAGTGTTGTGTGTTCTTCCCAAACAACTCAATCTTGGTTTCATCTGTCCACAGTATATTTTGCCAGTAGTGCTGTGGAACATCAGGTGCTCTTTTGCATACTTCAAACGTGCTGCAATATTCTTTTTGGACAGCAATGGCTTCCTCCGTGGTGTCCTCCCCATGTACTCCATTCTTGTTTAATGTTTTCCTTATTGTAGATGTGTCAACAAAAATGTTAGCATGTGCCAGAGATTTCTGTAGGTCTTTAGCTGACACTCTGGGATTCTTCTTTACCTCATGCAGCATTCTGTGCTGTGCTCTTGCAGTCATTTTTACAGGACGACCACGCCTAGGGAGAGTAGCAACAGTGCTAAACTTTCTCCATTTGTAGACAGTCTGTCTTACCGTGGACACATGAACATCAAGGCTTTTGGAGATACTTTTGTAACCCTTTCCAGCTTCATGCAAGTCAACAATTCTTGATCGTAGGTCTTCTGAGAGCTCTTTTCTGCGAGGCATGGTTCACATCAGACAGTGCTTCTTGAAACCAGTAAACCCAAAACAGGTGTGTGTTTTTTAAGGGCAGGACAGCTGTCAGCAACACATCCAATATCATCACACTGATTGGAGTCAAGGTTGGCTCACTCCTGGCTCCAATTAGCTCTGGGAGAAGTCATTGAGCTAGGGCCTCACATACTTTTTCCTCCCTGCACTGTGAATGTTTACATGTTATGTGCAATTAAACCATGCAAAACTCCACGTAATCCCAAGGGGTTCACATACTTTTTCTTGCAACTGTACATGATTATTTATTTATTTATTTATTTTTCGATCAGCGTACTGAATGAAAAAACAATTGAGCGGCTTGAGAGGAGGTCTCTGTACTAACTGTGCGATGTTAGTTCACTGATCTCCCCGCTGAGCTATTGTGCTCTAACAGGGGGACTTCCCCCCCCCAGAACACACCAGTCAGCGCTCACAGCCATTGGCTGAGACTGCTAATCGAATGCCGATCAGCTGCTGGTTTTACAGCATACTCGTTTGATAGAAGCCGGTCATGAGATTGACTTCTGTCAAACAGGGACATGAACACATGGGCTGAATGTTGGCTGAATGTCACTGTACCAGCTGATTTTGGCCACTATTCAGTCCATGTGTACGGGCCTCAAAGTGTTACTAAACCCACAACAGTAAAATCAGTCTGTATATGCAGTAAAGCATGCTTGTTATACTCACTGTGGAACCTAAAGGGTTAATCCTCCACATTGTGTAAACAGGCTGTTTGATCCTGTCTTCTCTGATCCTCCCCTTCTTCTACTGTCCCCAATCCCCAGTACAGAGCTCTAGGAGTCATCTGCACATGCTCAGTGTGGTGTGTATTGCTAGAGAGCTTCTTTCTTTTTCTTTGGGAGGGTGCATGTGATCAGCACAGGGCCAATCAGCGCTGTCCAGACAGAGGGTCAGGGGTAATGTAGCCTCATAGGACAGTCAGAACAGAATGAAAATTCCTCCTACACGCTTTAACCACTGCTCAGATGAACACTGATAGAAGTCACAAGACTACTCTAACTGCTAATGAGAAAAGATATTGATCAGTTTACATTTACTAAAATAATTGCATTTCCATGTTTTGTGTACTGTGGGAGACCGGATATAGTGAATGCAGGGTCCTGGGTTTAGTAACACTTCAAGCTCAAGTCACTGTGGTAGACATGGTGCCAGCAGACTTTGGAGTACTGCCCTTCAAGTGGGGTGAGATTAGCTTCAGCCACCGGAACATCCAGACCAAAGACTCCTCCAGTCATACCCTTGTGGAGCCTGTCTGGGGATCCCTTTAGCCAGCTACCTGAACTATCAGCTACAGCTAACCTTTGAGTGAGAGAGGTGTTACACTCCCTTCTCAGTGAATTGTAAGTAACTGCATTTGTACTGTCTGTATTGCACCATTTACTTTGCAAGTGAACTTCCCTTAATTCCTGTCCTCTAGGAATCTGGTATTTCATACTGCCACCTACTGGTCAAGTGTGGGAACTACTCCTAGCATCCAAATTACTCCACTGGTTTACTGTCATTGTGTTCATACTGATTGCATACTTATTTGCCATTCTATCTGAATTGTCATTTTACCCTACATTCATTCAGTATACACAAAGGTGCACATCGCTGTTTGTCCGGTCATTCTGCTGATACCATTATATAACAATAGACAGACCAAACCCTGTTCATTTTACAAACAGGTCGTATGGACAGTTCATCAGGTGAATGTACAAGACACAAAGAACTCATGAGAATCTCTCTTTATTGTATATATTAAGGTACCACAATAGAATTGTAGGATATACACTTGTCTGTGAGCACGGTTACATCACACATACACACACACACACACTCACGGGTAACAAACCTTGCACTTTGGAAAAAAAACTGCACATGATGAATTTCCACCCCTGTACAAATCCCTTGTGTGTGTGTTTTCTCTTCAAGGTGAACTCCATAATCAGTAAGGGTTCACAGCTGCAGCTGAATGGTGGTCTGTGATACTTAATGAGATTATTTAACAAAACTGTGCACAGAACAATGAAGTCCAGCGGTCCACTGCAGACAATCGGATATCGGCTTCTACTAAGGTCACTACACTAATGTGCTGAAAGCTGAACTCCAGGAAGATCAAAAAGACACAAATCAAAGGAGCTCAATATTTTTTTAATAAATCAATCAATAAAATGTTTAAAAACCTGTAGTTGACCAACTATCAGTCTCTTTCAACTACTTTACTGCAGAGCTCATAATCGGAGAAGGAGAAGCAGCACAAGGAGCCAGTCAGTTGTCCTGCAGTGCTTATGTGCTAATAAGGAACATGCTGATAGGTGGAGGGAGCTGAGTGACAGAGAGATGAACTCATCAGTCTTCTGCTTCTCCTTTCACTGTCCAGTAATAGGCTGGGGGAGGGACAAGACCTGTAAGTGTTTCTTAACTACAGCAGAGGAAAATCAGGTCTACTGCTCTGTAAGACAGGGTCATTCTGTGTAACTCTTAGGGCTAGATGGGCAGAAATCCAAATCTTTTGGAAGGTAAAATAGGTCCTACATAAGTATTTTATCCAGTTTTAAGCTGTATGGCTGGAATTCAGCTTTAAAGCACCTTTCCGACTGTTTGCTGCCAGTGATTGTCCTTCATTGCTCTGTGCACTTTGATATTAAATTACTGCATTTGAGTCGATTATGCTTGCAAAAAACACAAGACACTCCAAATTATATCACAGAGCTTATACTAGAAGGCTCTGTGCTAAGAATATCCCTACCCCCTTCTCAATGGACCATATTGTAAAAATCAGCTTTAGAGGCATTGCTTGCAGTTGAACATCATGGTTTGCTTTATAATCTGAATTAAAGGATGGGCGATGAGCAAAACATGCAAACCTTTCTTAGCTCAGATTAATAACCATTGCATTCAGTTATAACTATCTCTCTCTATATATATTTATATTTTTTTTTATATCCATCATAATTTATGCATTTTTTGTTCAGATTATATTGACTCTAAATAAATATAACAAAAATAAAATATTTCCCTTTGATACATATACAGGTCTATTTTTGTGTGAGCTTTCTCCTGGGGGGAATAGAAAATGGTACAAGCATGTTTCAGCTATCAGCTGCCAGCATTTCCCAGCAACACATTAAACAACAATGTGCTGACGATGCCACCAAAAGGCAGCCACTGATGCGAATAGCCAGAATGGGGATGTCAGTAGAAACTGATGCATAATTATTAGTGATGCTGATGCCCAAAATATGCTGTCTCTGCCTTAATCCTCTACATTATATCTAAAGGCTTCTATTAGACCCTCTAAAGAATGCACAAAACCAGATATGCTACAGATGGAGCCAATGACAAAGATGGAAACATCGAAAAAGACATGATGCCACTGAAGCTGCCTCCAAAGAAGCTTGAGATGGAAGAGGCTTGGAAGGAGGAAGCAGAGACCAGCTCCTGTGAGGCTGCCAGTGAGACCCATCAAGAGGGCAAAGTGGGGCACGTAAATGGCCATGAGCAAGGTAAAAACAACTAGGGCACATCTGAGAGTGAGTCCCCAAGATTTCAGTCTCCCATCACCCCCATAGCAGTTTGGGAAGAAGGACCTGCTCCCTTCTTGAAAGAGAGACCTTTCTAAGACCTCCACTGCAGCGAAGAAGGGCAGCGGGTAGGACAGCAAAGCTTTGGCCACCAGGAATAAGTTAACCACTGCTCTGATAGTAGAGGGTAGGTTGTCTGTTATGACCTCCTTGGTTTCATCTGCCCAGGTTAGATAAGCCACTAAAGCAAAAAGACCCTTGAGAATGCAAGCTGCAATGTGGGTCCAGTTCATCATGCAGTGGAATTCTTTAGGGTTTTGCATGTTCCCTTCCAGGGAAGGCAGGAAGATCTGGGAGGTGTAGCTGAAGACAATGATACCGATGGAGATAGGAAATTTCTTTACATCAATGTAAAATTTGACTTTGTCCCAAGCCCAGTCTCTAGCTCTGGACAGACAGTAGGCGATCACTAGGACATTAATGACGAAATGAGCTAAGGTGCAGAGCAAGCTGAACTTGGAGACAGATTTAAGGTTTTTGAGGAATGCACACGGTAGAAGCACAGCAGTGGCTATAATTGACCAGGACTTCTGGGAAATTGGTAGGGATGGGAAGCTGTTATACATCAGGTTTCCACTGACCACCACATACAGGATGCATGTCATGACCAGTTCAATAATCTGAGCCACATTGACAATCCTTCCTCCAAGTTTTGGAAACCTCGGTGTACAGCAGGCGTTGGCAATGTCCACATAGGAGTCCCTAACCCTCACAATCTCTCCGTCTTCATTCTCTTCATACAAGCAAGCAATGAGAATCTTTCCTGTGTAACAACACACCACTGCAGCAAAAATGATGAGGAACAGTCCCAGGTATCCACCGTGTAGAATTGCGTAGGGTAAGCCCAACACAAACATCCCCTGCAAAAAAACAAGCAGAAAATAAGTGAGGATCCCAACATCCCAATATATACTTTTCTATGTGTGAGACTATAATAAGCTTAAAAGATATCTAAAGCCAAACCTTTTATTGTTTTGGATAAAGCAGAGAAGGGTTAAAACAGTTTTTAAATTTTGTCATGTGCTGTTGAGGAGATTTTCCATCAACTCCTGTCCTACAGTCACAACAGGAATTGAGTGAAAATCACTGCAAAATGAGGGGAAGTCCCCTTTTTGGACAGGTTCATACAAGCCCGAAGCCATATCTTGCCAGTTATTACAATGTTAAGTAATGCGCCATACGTGTGTTAGCATGTCTTTGAACGTGTCTTTGCTGCAATGCAATGGAAAAAAATGCAGCATGACCTATTTTTTTTTTTGTGTTGCAGCCCATTTATTTTAAATGGGTGCTGAAAGCAGAGTACCATCTGCTGCAGTGCAGTTCGTGAAGTATAAAAAAGCCCTTAGATAGCTGTCACTAAAACAAATGTCTGATTTCGAACATTTCCATCACTTTCTGTTCCAATGAAAATGGTCACCAAAAAAATAAGATGCAACTCCCCAGCAGGGACAGAGGTTCCCCACACCATCCAAAAAAAAAAAACAAAATTGATTCTAGATAAACTTTAATGGTAAAATTATTTTGTTTTAGAGCAATTTTTTATTGAAGTATTGTTTGTCCATTTTTCCATTTTCCATTCCAATTTCACAGAATGAAATTCAAGCCATGAAGGTGAAAATAGTATACAAGAGTGCTTGGACACGATATACCAAATATACCAATAAAATGAAAATATGCTCACACTCCAGGGGGACACATTTCCTTCCATGAAAGCCTACACAATTTGTTCTAAAATGGAATGTAAATTGTAATTATATACAGTATATGATCTTTATTATTGGCAACTAAAAATGGAAAAAATATGTTTTTATTCAGGTAAACATGGAATATTAATTTAAGTAAACATGAACATATACAGTAGGGGTGTGTTTATCAATTATGTGCATAGCTGTTTGTCCATTGAAATTGCATGTAAATTAGTTCTGAGTGAATAGGGCAAAATCAAATGTTCTCAGGCTAAATCCTCTGCAAATTAAATGTGCAAATGAAGAAAATACTTCAATAGGGCCACTAGATGCAGCTGAAGAGCATACTTGTTTCCTATGATAGTCCACACCATCTAGTGGCCATAATGTGATATATTTTGTCCATTCAAACATTCAGTCTACAGAAAAATAGACTGAGCGCTTGTGAGGTAGATTTACTAAAACTGGAGCACTCAGAATCTGGTGTAGCTGTGCATGGTAGCCAATCATCTTCTAACTTCAGCTTGTTCTATTAAGCTTTGGCAATAAAACCTGGAATCTGATTGGTTTCTATGCAGAGTTGCACCAGGTTTTGCACTCTCCGGTTTTAGTAAATATCCCACACAGAGTTTTGCACCATTCATACAGAACAAATTTACATGCAGTTTCAATGGATCAAGAGTTATGCAGTTTTTTTTAAATACATCCATTAATGTCCCACTGTTCAAAAGGGAAAGGGTGTACATATGTATCCAGCATGGATATCCCTGACAATTTGTCAGTAAGCCTGGTTTTCTCAAGGGGTCAACCCTGTGGCAGCTCTTGCATTCTCTATGGTCACATTTTTCAACCTGCTTAGCCCCTTACTTGAATACCTTGATACACACATGGATATAACCTCACCGGATTGGTGTTTGCAACAGGAATATGCTATCGAGTTCAGCTCAGGAATGGACTTTGCCTACAAATGGATGGACCCTGGACCAAGCACTGACTGTCTCTAAAAGGGGATCCTATTTGTTACTCCAAAAGGGGTATTTACTAAAACTGAAGCATGGAAAATCTTGTGCAACTCTGCACAGAAACCAATCAGCTTCCAGGTTTTTTTTTGCCAATGATTAATTGAACAAGCTGAAGTTGGAAGCTGATTGGCTACCATGCACACATGCACAAGATTTAGTAAATCTCCCCCAAGTGTATCAATTTCAGTGAGTAGTTAAAAAAAACATGATTTACTTTACACCCATAGTGGCTCTTTTTAGAATTCATATACTGGTTATATACTTTGATATGATTGTTGATATATTTAATTGTTTTTAATGTGTATAAAAAAATGATTTTGTTTTATCCATAGAATCTAGCTAGTTCTTGGATTTTGTTTTGGATAATTGACACAGTAATGACGTTGTAGCGATAACCCATCAGAAGCAGCGACATCTCAAGTTTTCCTATCTTACACATGTTTAAAACCTGAAATACTGCACATAGATGTTTTATATTTACATTTCCAGCCAGCTCTAGGCTCCATTTCACAATTTTCCAGACTTTCCTTATAGATTTTCATGAAAAAGCTTGTGTTTATGAAATTCAGTAGCTCAAGGTGACATTTGCATGCACCACTGATTGAGTGGCTCCTTTCCCTCTCTCTGCTTGCTTGTCTGCCTGTTCAGATGGAACTGTACAGAAATTCTATTATTGAGGTAGCTTGAAAGGAAATATCTTCAGTCGGGCTCCTTCCCTGTTTGTAACTCCATTGTCATGGGTGTATCCTGTATTAATTGTTTGTAAATTATTTTATATAAGTAGTAAAAAAAAAAGAATAAGCCATCATTGTAAGGGTTGATGCACACGGGGTGACACAGGTATTTTAGATGCCTGACGTAATTTCCCAGCTCTTTCCTGTGCCCAAGGAGTTGCACATGCCACGTATAGCCTGCCATTCAAGTGAACGGCTGGTTGCGGCTGTGCTCTTGTAAACGTTGATGCAAGAAACACATTTCCAAATGTTTGCATGTGAAACATGTGTGATTACTAAATCAGGGTTGCATACAGCAAATCACTTGTATGGCAGGTTGTGCATGTGGCTCCCTAGGCATGGGAAAGGGTCAGGAAATTAGTTCAGGCATTGATAATGTCTGTGTAGGCCTCAAGTGCAAATGGGTCCTGTCATTCATGTGGATAATACTTGACATGTACCCCCTGCCTAAACATTATTGCTGACCAAGTACATCCCTTCAAGGAAACGGTATTCCCTGTTAGAAGTGGCCTCTTTCAGCAGGATAATGTGCCACGCTGCAAAAATGGTTCAAGAATGGTTGGAGGAACACAACAATGAGTTTGAATTGTTGACTTGAATTCTAAATTCCCTAGATCTCAATCCAATCCAATCCATGTACAGTTGTGTTCAAAATAATAGCAGTGTGTTGAAAAAAGTGAATAAAGCTCAAAATCCTTCTAATAGCTTTTATTTCCATACACACAAATGCATTGGGAACACGACACATTCTATTCCAAATCAAAACATGAAGAAAAATATATCAAATTTGTGTTGTTCCTCTAAAAAAAATTGAAGAAAAGTGAATTTTAGACTGTTCAAAAAAATCGCAGTGTTTGTATTCTTCTTTACAAACTCAATCATTCACTATTTAAACTAAAAAATGATGAAGATTTTGCTTTCCCTTGAATCACTTAATGAATATTTGGTTGCAGTCGCACTGTTTCTGAGAACTGTTGTACATCTGTGTTGCATGGAGTCAACCAACTTCTGTTGTCACCTGTGAACAGGTATTCCAGCCCAGGATGATTGGACTACATTCCACAGTTCTTCTCTATTTCTTGGTTTTGCCTCAGAAACTGCATTTTTGATGTCACCCCACAAGTTTTCTATTGGATTAAGATCTGGGGATTGGGCTGGCCACTCCTTAACGTCAATCTTGTTGGTCTGGAACCAAGATGTTGCACGTTTACTGGTGTGTTTGGGGTCGTTGTCTTGTTGGAACACCCATTTCAAGGGCATTTCCTCTACAGCATAAGGCAGCATGACCTATTCAAGTATTCTGATGTATTCAAACTGATCCATGATCCCTGGTATGCGATAAATAGGCCCAACACCGTAGTATGAGAAACATCCCCATATCATCATGCTTGCACCACCATGCTTCACTGTCTTCACAGTGTACTGTGGCTTGAATTCAGTGTTTGGGGGTCGTCTGACAAACTGTCTCCGGCCACTAGACCCAAAAAGAACAATCTTACTTTCATCAGTCCACAAAATGTTGCGCCATTTCTTTTTAGGCCAGTCAATGTGCTCTTTGGCAAATTGTAACCTCTTCAGCACATCTTTTTTTCAACAGTGGGACTTTGCGGGGGCTTCTTGCAGATAGCTTGGCTTCACATAGGCATCTTCTAATTGTAACAGTACTCACAGGGAACCTTCTTTGATCTTCCTGGAGCTGATTGTTGGCTGAGTCCTTGCCATTTTGGCTATTCTTCTATCCATTCGAATGGTAGTTTTTCGCTTTCTTCCACGTCTTTCAGGTTTTGGTTGGCATTTTAAAGCATTTACGATCATTTTAGCTGAGCAGTCTATCATTTTCTGCACTTCTTTATATGTTTTCCCCTCTCCAATCAACTTTTTAATCAAGGTATGCTGTTCTTCTGAACAATGTCTGGAACGACCCATTTTCCTCAGAATTTCAGAGAGAAATGCACTGTAACCAGCATGTACCACATTTGCTGCCTTCCTTCCTTAAATAAGGGCAATAATTGCCACCTGTTTTTCAAAGAATGACTGACCTCACTAATAGAACTCCACACTGCTATTATTTTGAACATGCCCCTTTCAATTAGTGATTCAATTACACAGAATCAGCAGCATGCATGTCATGACTGTTGGGTCTGTTGGATTTCTATTACTCTACTACACCTGCTAGTAAATTATTTGCCATGTAGAAATATCATTTCTACCAAAAACAGTGATTGATCCGGTTAGTGATGTCTGACTGCTATTATTTTGAACACAACTGTACATGACGACTAAAATGTATAAGCATAAAGAAGAACTAAAGCAAAATGTACCCTAAACACCCTCATCATTTCTCTTTGACACTGTCACCTTTTTAAATCTTAAGGGGTCAATGATACTTTTAGTTAGTTGATCCGTTGAAGATATT